CTGTTTTTAGATTCTTGCATTACTTAATGACCTTACATTATTTCAACTGATAAGATTTTGTTTATAGACACAAGTTATTGTCGGTTAAAGCACAGACACCTCTCGAAGTTGAGTTTTTGCGGGAGCTTCAAAATGATCCGGACTTGGAGGTATATACACATTTGTATAAGTTATGTGATCTTATTTGTTTTATTCTAGTATTCACACGAGGGAAAACATGCAATCTTTTAAAATGCATGAAAACAAAATATATCAGGTATGAAAAAGCCCGTTTTAACCAAATCCCGTCAGAAGACTTTGCCTGGTTTATAAAGCTGGTCAATTTAACAACCCATAAGATATCAGGCTTATAATTAAGTCTGACAGACGAGCGTCTATACTTAACTCATCAGTGACGCTCGAATCAAAATGTTGGAATATCAAATCAAATACCAAGTTGAAGAGCATGAAAACCAAATATTCAAAACGGCTGTTACAAATCTGACAATGGCCATCTATGTCTAGAGATAGTGAAAAAAACTAAATGTTTTGATGATTTTTTAAATTCTAAGAACTGTATTGTAATACAGATGACATTATCAATGATATTTCATGGTAACACAGGTCGACTCGTTTTGTTACACTACCGGGAACGAAACGTCCACCAGCAATGGCATTGATTCAATGACTTTGAAAAAACACCAGATGTTAGGTCACAAGCTGAAATTTGAAAAGACTATTCATTGTTCAGTTCAGTTTGGACATATTAACGGTTTAAATAGGTGTCGGTTTAAATAGGTGTCGGTTTAGATAGGTGTCGGTTTAGATAGGTTTTGGTTTAGAATGGTTTCGGTTTAAATAAGTTTCGGTTTAGAATGGTTTCGGTTTAAATATGTTTCGGTTAATAATGGTTTCGGTTTAAATAAGTTTCGGTTTAGAATGGTTTCGGTTTAAATATGATTCGGTTAAGAATGGTTTCGGTTTAAATAAGTTTCGGTTTAGAATGGTTTCGGTTTAAATAAGTTTCGGTTTAGAATGGTTTCGGTTTAAATAAGTTTCGGTTAAGAATGGTTTCGGTTTAAATATGTTTCGGTTAAGAATGGTTTCGGTTTAAATAAGTTTCGGTTTAGAATGGTTTCGGTTTAGGTTGGTGTCGGTTTTAATTGGTTTTGGTTTTGAATGGTTTCGGTTTAAATATGTTTCGGTGTAGATATGTTTCATTAATTTTCAAATATTATATCGTCAGAATAATTAATCTTTTGTACTGATTCACAATATTTGACAATTAAAAAACCTTTCGAATCAGTGCTGTCGCAACGCAAGATTGCTGTATTGTATAAATTAGTATCATTCTCAGACGGTATATTTTTTTTTCTTCTAATGATTTTTCTTTAAAATATTCCTTTAAATTTTGATCAAGTATGAACTGCCTGTTTATACACTACCCACAATCCTTTGATAAAAATGTCTTTCGGCTATTATCATTAGTGGTTTGTACAAATGAAATTTTAACTATTACCCACATTTGTATACAGTTTTGTTTTTCTGGCTTTAAATTATATTTCGTCCTCTTGGTTATGAATTTATTTGGTACTGTTCATTACACCATTGCTAACCTACAATTCAACAAAAATTAACACAATAAAAAAAAAAAACAAAAAAAAACCCAAAATAGATGGACGTTACATTTCTTTTAAAGTTTCAATATTTAGACATATACATGTTAATGTAATGTTTATTTTAGCTTGATTTCTGGAAACAGCCAATGAGAGGAGATGTTCACATACACGTTGAACCAAAACATGAAAAGAAATTTATACAGACGATTGAAAGAGCAGGATTGAAGTATTCAGTCTTGCAGGAAGATATTCAACGGTAAGTCACTGAATTTTTAGATGCTATGTTAGACTAGTAATCCTATTGATTTTATTACGATATATAATGTAACCTCTCCATTAAAATGTCATTGGTTGATAAATGGATTGAAAATCAACAAAATCGTGGGTTTTGTTCATTGTTGAGGGTAGTACCGTGACCTTTAACTGTTAATATCCTCGTCCTTAAGTATCTGGTGGATAGTTTTCTCATTTGTAATGATATTGCATCTCCTTATTTTATATAGCTGGAATATTCTCGCGGCCAATCGTTGTAAGGGTGAACGATTTTCTATTATATCTGTGATTAATTGACTGGTAGTTGTACTGTCGTACTAACTTTGGAACCAAGGTCGTCGGCCCATCGAACTTTCCCGAAGTCATGCGTTGATTGCAATACTTACGAGCTTCAGTCCTTGCTTGGATTCTGTGTTGCTACCTGATATCGATCTCGTTAGAAAATGAATCAATTCATTGCCAGTGATTAAAAATAGTAGCATATCGAGTAGTGAAAAGTGCAGATTAATTACACGCTCTGAGTTTTTTTTCACACACTATATTTCTAATGGGCAATGAACATTCTCTTTGATCTGTTTGGGTCAAGTGTGTGATAAGTCGAACTCAATTATCTTTGCCATTAAAACATCTTGAACAACTGTTCTAATCTAATTGGTTACTGTAGCTATTTTCACAAAACACTTTAAATAAGATTTACTCGAATGAAAAAACAATTCAGTAAAGTTTACTCTTTAATATTTTGGGAAATGGGCTGCAGATTCTGAGCAAGACATGAGGGTTTGGATGGAGGGTCCTTCATTTCTTTGTTCTTTAACTTTTTAGGCGATAATTTTTTATGCTTTATTTATTTTGACCATTGTTCTTCATTTTTTATATTTCAGCACCCCATTATTCTCAATTCTTTATATTTCAGCACCCCATTATTATCAATTCTTTATATTTCAGCACCCCATTATTCTCAATTCTTTACTTTTTTGCCTATTTTCTCTATTCTTTATTTATTTTGGCTTTTTATTCTGCACTTTTCAAATATTAATTTCTGTTCTGCAAACCTCATTAGGACCCTCAGACATAAAATTGAAACGCCATCTAAGTAGTACCCTGTATCTGAGACATTCAACCTAAAGATAATGCACATCGTCTTACAAAATATACAGGAAAAACTCTTAATCATCATAAAACATGATATAAGACTGTGAAAATAAATCTATTAGACTATCAAACTATAATTACTGTTATATTTAACTATTTTACATAAGATACCTAGCGGCAATTTGCTACGATTTTATTTTAAAATTTACATTGCAGCGGAATTGATACTGAGTGGCAATCTATATCTAGACATGCTGGGTCAAGAGATTACACACAAACATACCTAGATTTAAATGGGGTGAGTTTTATGGAAGTAAGGGCATACTGAAAGGTAGCCAATGAGACAGCTACCCATCAAAAGACAAAAAGACAAAAGGACAAGCCTAGATGCTAACAACTACAGGTTACCATAAGATACCGCAGAAGTAAGCAACTCATAACTAAAATTTGAGGGCATGCATCTCAAGCACGGGACCACATTATTCCGAACATTTGACAATAAGCACGTACACCATTCAAATACACATAAGTAAAGAGTAGTACAGTGTGTCCGCGCACCTAAGACTTTCGGCTACGGTCATAAAACTAATTACCGGATAATATTGTTTGCACAAATACATGACATACTTTTATCTCATAAAATCTTCTTAAAGTATGATTTCTCGCTTAAGATTGTGTGTAATTTGTGTCCAAAATTAGAGAATCCACTATTTTGATAGTTCTTTACATGTCCGATGATTTCGCACATGCCTTATACAAATAGTTATTGAATAAGGAGAAGATTGCATGTTACACAATACTCACGATTTAATTTCAACACAGCACTTTGATATGGCTTCTTTAAGTCCAGTGGCAAATATTTCATGATTATTCAATGATACGTTTTTGTCTTGCAATATTTAATTCAGGTCAGTTGAACTCTGTTTTAGGTAGATGATTTCCTTAGCACTTTGGAGGCAGAAGTTCCGCAACGTTTAGAAAGATTTAATCTAGGGGGAACAACTATTGAAGGACGACAAATATGGGCTGTTAAGGTAAACATATTCGTTCAATTAACAAAATCGTAGGCATTCAGTTACCATTTGTTTTGTCTAGTGAACTTGATATTTACATGTTAAATAAGAACGAGCATGAAAGTATTTTCTATTTCGCCCAGAGGCCAAATTGAGATGTTAGAAGACTTTAAAGTGGAAGATTTATTCTTTTTAGGTAAATATTACTTGAAACATTCAGTAATTGAAACTTGAGGATTTAGATGTTACATGTAGAAGGAAAAAGATTAATTTTTAAAGTAATAAATTGTTGATTATAGCAGGGTGTTGCTCTGCAGGGAATTGGAACACAATTAGCTTTAGTAGTTTTTAATTAAGAGGTTGCATCTTTTGTCAAATCAACAGTCTAATTATGTATCTTAAATGCCCTTTGATAAAAGTAATGATTATCTAGATAATATGCGCGAGAATCACTGATCCAGAATGGAGTTTGTGTAACTTTTGTGTAAGTTATCTAAAGTTGTATTCCATAGTATTATTAGTAAAATCTTAAATTTTCGCCTGTAAGGGATACTAAGAGCTGTATCTACTATATAATGCTCTGATACTTTGTACATGTTTAGTTGTGTAAGGAATATTTCGTTTGTAAATAGTGTCCAATGAGAAATATTTTTGAAACCAAAGAAGGGTGGGTTATTTAAGAGCCAAAGACTCATCTGTGACGCTGGAAGCAAAAAAAGTTAAGAAGGCCGAATAAAGTATTAAGTTGAAGAGCATTGAGGATCCAAAATTCCGGAAGTTTTTGCCAAATACAGCTAAGGTAAACAAGAAGTTGAGATTCCGATACTTAATCATATATAACACTTTTACTCTTAACAAATTGTATTGTCTGTAACATCCCCGATCACCCTAGTTCATCACCTCCCTTCAATACAATAGATTGCAGTCCTTGGTTTGGATGTTTAATTCATATTTGCAATGATGCTTTATAATGGCCATACTTGACGACGGTGTTATTATACATTTCAGGTATCAACAGATTTAAATGGCAGTGGTAAGAAGGCTGTCTGGATTGAATGTGGTACCCATGCCAGAGAATTCATCACAATTTCAACCTGCTTGGCAACAGCTAATAATGTGAATATAGTCTTAAAATCTTTTATCATATCATAATAACCGGCAATCACGAGTGCAATATATATTCTACGAGGGAAAATGTTCCCATAGTTTTATGCAATAACCCTTTCATTGTGTGAAAAATCTTGAAAAAAATGCTTAAAACTTTGTTTGTCATTGATGACGTCGCTAATTTGAAGCTGTATTTGCACTAGTGCAATATGATATGTTATTGCACTTTACCTGTTTTTTTTCATAACATAAAACTAATTCGTTGATTCAATGTAAATTCTCAAATATCACTTAAAATTGTACAGGCTTAAATAAAGCTGGGGTTAGGGGAAAGGTCATGTGATGAAAGAAATGATAAGGAATGGAAAAATTTCTTCTTTAATCCTCAGCTTGCAAGATTATATGGTGGAACTGGTGCTGCTGCAGAGAAAGCGACCGCCATGTTGGATCTGTACGACTGGTACATTGTCCCTGTCCACAATCCCGATGGATATGATTACGCTTATTGGGTGGTAAGCAATAAAAACGAATAGTCATTACAATGCTTAAAAAGTTTTACCTTTCTGAAAAGGTATGAAGTGCATGGAGCAATAATTGTTGATCGGGTCTTAAATACCCATACTGTAATTTTATTCCTTATCTTTCTTATTTAATATAACCTCTTGGCCAGGACAAAGTTCCAATTTTATATCGCATTTAGTCAACTGAACCATTGCCGCATCATAAGGCAACTTATCTCAACTCATATTTGATAAGTAGTAATGATGATGATGATGATAATTATGAGGATGGTGGATGGCTGTAAAACGTCCAGCGGCAAGAAAATGCATATTAAGGACGAGAACATGTTAATGTTATATGAATATTAACCCTGCTTTGTATTAGACCGGGACGTTGAGCCGGATTTTTAATGTGCTTGTTCACATGTTAACAGTCCGCAGGCTGACATGTCACCCTACTCATATTCAGACTCCGAGCCGACCAGTCTTTGCTCTTACTGCTTAATGTCGCGTGCTTAGCTGAGAAGGGGTCGCCCCGCTATTCCGACACCCCATTGGTCCGACACCCTATTAGTCCGAAACCCCATTAGTCCGACACCCCAATAGTCCTACACCCATTGGTCCGACACCCCAATAGTCCGACACAAGCTGTAATTGAAAATCTACTTCATACAAACAAATGGAAAAGACAGCACTTCCCAACATGTACATATATGTAAGAAATACCATTATCCTTTAAATATAAGGCAATCGACAACCTTGCAATATTTTGCTTTATAAAAACAAAGTGTAACCTAGCTCTTTTAAAAAAAACCCGCTACGCTAAAAAGGAATTTGATTGGTGGATTGCTGTTTTCTTTACGTCCAGTGTCAAATAATTCATGCATGTTAAAGACGAAAACAAATTAATAATTAATACAAAAGGTATGTCCTGTAATAAGGATTCGATCGGGATTGAGGGCGGAAAATTTGGACTGCCACTGGAAAATGAGGGTATATTGGATAGCATAGAAATTTGACCTGGCAACAGACTGTCATGGAATAGACGTTCCTTTATAATATATGTTCTAAATATGGAATATTATTTTCACTGGAAAAAATATTACGTTACTTGTTCCTGACGAAATAAAAGGTATATATAATATTTGTTCCAAAAGGAACAGATATTATTGGATTGTTTGTAACAAAGTTTCCAGGGGAACTTCTGTTAGGAGGAACAAATATAGGTAAACAAGTGTTGGTACCACCTACGGACCTACCATATTGTTGCAAGGTTTCTTAAAGTGCAGAGAACGTGCCACTTTCTCTACACGAGGCATCGGTTGTAATGTCCTTTTTCAGACCAAACGTGGCTGCGTATTTATACATTCAGCATAACCAAAGGACGCCCCACTTGGCAAGGAGTTTACTTTATCGAAAAAAAAAAACACAAAAGTTAAAATATTTTTATACAAAAGTCATCCTTGGGGTGAGGAAAATTTGGAATTTGAAGAACAGTCTCTCGTCGTAAAGAAAATGTACAGACTGTAATATAATCTCCGAAACTGTCAAACTAAAAAGATTTCATTAACAAACAAACAAAAACTTATATTATCCAAGCATGTTGGTTTCCATCTCCACCGAACTTGAATTTAAAAATCGATACTTTATAAAATATAATGAAAGTCAAAATATCCATTATAAAATTGAACATTCGATTATATTTGGTTCTTTATTGAATGCCTTATTACGGTTGTTAAACTCGGTTAAAACGGATGGCATTTGCCGTCCGAATTGACTTATAGTGAATATAGCTGCTTCATATTATCGCTCTTCATTCTGGTCGACCCCTATTACTGGATTTATTGTTAATTAGTTCTTATCCTGAACATGCATGAAATATTTGCCGCTAGATATAATGACAGATGTATCTCCCATTGAGTCTATGTTTTTGAAAAACGACATGTTTGCCAGTTACGTTGCTTTCGCCGGGAAATTTGAATTTTTTTATCTTATTGAAACAATAGCTGAGTAAGGTAGTAGGAAGTAGGAAGTAAATGAAGGTAGGCTATTCGAAATGGCGACTTAGGTCCCTTTAGGGTTTTTCAGTTTACCGATGTGGATAGTAAACTACACATTGCTTAAAAAACTACGAAATATTGATGCCTGATTAAAATAAATGGAGAATGCGTCCATGGGACACAGATGATGCCCCCGCTTGCATATGAAGTTATAAAGGGACATAACTAGAGAACAATAAAAGTGACGCCACCCTTATTCGAAATTGATCTGTGTTTTATGGTAATATGCCTTGGGTATAAGTTTCATAACATTTGGTTAGGGTGAACTAAAGTTAGAGAACGGAAACCAATTTTGGTACGGACGTACGGACGGACGGGTGGACGTACGGATGCTTAATGCTCCCTTCGCCTAACGGCTGGGGCATAAAAATGTTGAACCTATTGAATTTCCGCTATTTTAATATAAATATACCGAGTCCCTGTGCGGCGAACGCATCAAAAACTGAACAGTATTATTTGGAAGAGAGATAATCATTGAACCAGCATACCCAATATTTGAAAAACAGAGTGATCTGTCCTAATTTCACTCTTTCTTGAATATTGGTGCCCATATATACAAACTAAACTGGTGTTTTTCTTCAACTAACGGCATTTTACTGTTACATTTTAGCTCCTCTTTTCAAAAAAATATTAAATTAGAAGTTTTAGTTGAGTTACAGCACCGTTATTACTTTTTGTCGCTAGAGTTATACCAGAAAAACGTGACCGTCTTATTCTCTGAAGTCATATTCACTCATATAATCGTGTACGCAGCAAAGCTTCATTGGTTCCTTTATTATCTTACTGCGTCATTTTTAACCTGTATCTCTGAGATACTGTATCGAGAGGTATTTATTTTAAAGTAATTAGTCAAGACTGAAGAAAATATTTTGTGCTTTTAGTTAGTGGTGATGAAATTCTGCTACTTTGTACTAATACATTAACCTAGATTGCATCACCTCTTCCAACAAAGGACAGTGTCCTCTTCTTAATATTGAACAAATCTGTTATTTGGCTTTCTAATATAAAAATAAATACATTTTTTTTTAAACATTTCGATGTCAGACTAATGGAATGTCGAACTATTAGGTGTCGAACCAATAGGGTGTCGGACTAATGGGGTGTCGGGCTAATGGGGTGTCGGACTAATGGGGTGTCGGACTACTGGGGTGTCAGAATATCGGGGCTGCCCCGCTGAGAAGCAGCAAATACCAATTTTCAAGTCTTTGGTTTGACACAGCGGGGTTCAAACCCACGACATCCCGTACTCGAGGCTAGCATGCTACCACGAGACACCGAGGCGGTTGATTACCAGTTGTATCAAGATGGCGAGAATATCGAATGGAACTTTATAGTCTAATGACACTGCGAAGAAATAATTATAATGAGAACGTTTTGTTTAAAGATGCTATAATGGAGAGATTATTAGTGTGTTGACAAGGTAATGTCTCCTGCCTTCTTCCTAGATACATTAACCCATTTGCGTATCAAAACTATGTCAAACAATTCACGATTAGGAATAGTACATAATCTATAAATTGTTAGATAAAGTAGACGACTTTTCAGTGCAACTACGCAAAACATGTCTCTTGTGAGTTAAGCAATCAAAATTTTGTAAAATAGCACTGTCAGTAATTATTATACCCACAATCCTTCCGTGTAAAATGGCACTGTCAGTAAATATTACACCCGCAATCCTTCCGTGTAAAATGACACTGTCAGTAAATATTATACCCACAATCCTTCCGTGTAAAATGGCACTGTCAGTAATTATTATACCCACAATCCCTCCGTGTAAAATGGCACTGTCAGTAAATATTATGCCCACAATCCTTCCTTGTAAAATGGCACAGTCAGTAATTATTATACCCACAATCCTTCCGTGTAAAATGGCACTGTCAGTAATTATTATACCCACAATCCTTCCGTGTAAAATGGCACTGTCAAATATTAAATATTATACCCACAATCCTTCCGTGTAAAATGACACTGTCAGTAAATATTATACCCACAATCAATCATTATCTATCAATGTTAAAGGGAACATCGTCGACATTTGCTTACTTCAGGATAATAATATAAAAGTGGGCAGATGTGGTATGATGATGAATGACACAACTAGCCACATGACACATATAGACGAGTATACTAACAACATTGTGCGGTCTCCAACAATTAGCAAAACTCATACTGTATAGTAAACTTTTAAAAGCCCTAGATATGACAAAATGTGAAGCAATTCAAAAGAAAAAAAAACGCAACGCCCTGATTTATTCTTAAAACAATAACAAGAAAAATCCCAAATACTTTTAGTATTTCGAGGCGGGATATTCTTTTGTGAGAGTTCACTCACAGTTCTTTTTGGTTTGTTTCCCTCTATACATATGTCTACGGTAACAGTTAAACATTTTGTATGTCACCTTGTATCGTCCACAAGTGTTGTAAATATGTTATTTGTTACCATTTGTAAATCACCGTTTCAGAAAAAATCACGAAACTTCATTTAGGGATGAATGGCCATTGCTTAGAACGTTGAATCTTGGTGTACGCTTTTTAAAATATAACCCGGAATGAGTTACATTCTGAACCAAAAATGCATCACATCCTATCACAGAATGCTTTACATTATGAGATGGCAAATTGTTCTTGTGAAGTTAAAAAATGAAAAGTAACATTAAGACCTGTTATATGTGACAACTTTCGTAAAGCTTTTAAAAGCATGACGTAAGAGCTATAAGCTGAATGATACATGTATAAAATGTCATGTTACTAAGATAACTTCGTCGATATACAGAATGTTAAAGTAAAATACACTTTATTATTTGATTTGTTTTAAATTTTAGTCGAGACTTTGGAGAAAGAATAGACGGCAAAACAATGGTATATGTTTTGGAGTCGACTTGAACAGAAACTGGAATTCTAATTTTGGAGGTAACATACAATAATGAAATACAAATTGTATATCAAAAATAATTAAAAATTAAAATATGATATAAAATTTAGTTCAGAAATAATTTATAGCTGTGTGTGGTTTATTGGGAATTTAACCGTAGGTTGGGAATATTGCGTGAAAATTTCATATCGATTGGTGCACAGCGGAACGAGGGGTGAAATTTACCCAAAAAAGTAAAGCTGAATAATGTACTGCTGTAATTGAAGATTAACTACTTAACTGTTTGCTATAAATTATTTTGATTTGAATAGGAAATTAATATATGTCAAATTTATTTTGTATTATAACATTTGTCAGTCATGGTTTAAAGAGTATTTTACTCGTCATGGTTTTTTTTAGTATTTTACCCATTATTTCATTCTAGAAATTTCCATTTACCGTCACAAAGAAGTGAAAATAGGTATTTGCCTCACAATGCTTAGAGCTTACAAACGGGTAAAAATATATCAAATGCGCACAGGCTCATCGGATTTTGTAACTTAAATACAACTATAATTTGTAAAAAGTTATCATATAATTTTCAACTTAAGCATGTAATTGTATATTCAATATAAGTCGCCGACCCTCGATAGTCTCGTGGAAGTCCTGTCTCTATAGCGAGGTAATTGATTCGATAAAATTTGTATTTTAACCAATAATAATTTGAAATTCACAATGAATCGCTTAAATCCAGGAATGACAAACATTTATGAGGGTCTGGGTTGGTGTTTCCAGAAAATATAATATTGGGCAAAAAGTGCAGAATAAAGGACAAAACAAATAGAAAATAGAGAATAATGGGGTGCTGAAATATAAATAATAGAGAATAAGGGTAAAAATCAATAAAAAAAATAGAGAAAATATTCTAAAAAATGAAAATAAAGAAATGAAGGACACCCCATTCAGGTCCTCATGAAAAATGCTGGACAATCTCAACCAAACTCGTACAGATTTGTATACAGGATATAAAGTCGACCTTCTATTTCAATTTTTGATCAGAGTGATTTGAGATTTCACTTATCATACGTTGTAACATGGACTTACCAATTTCTGCTTGTATCTGTTTTTTTTTAAACTCCTAGAAAAACACATAGACAGATTTTAACCAAACTTGCACGGATTCTGCTATAGGATATATAGTTGTGCACCTGTAAGTTTCATTATTGATTTGAACGAGTTTTGAAGTTTGCAAAATATACTGAAAAGCATGAAAACAAAAAAGGTTTCATTTCTGGATTAAACCTTCTTTGCCCGAAGGGCAGAAAAGCCCTAGTTTTTCGAATAATTCTATCATAAGCCATTTCTAGATTTTTTTTTAATGTGAATGAATATATAAACAAACTGTTACTTGTTTTAGGAACTGGTTCATCCGGACAATCCTGCTCAGATACATACCGTGGGAACAGTGCTCTCTCAGAACCGGAAACGGCAGCGCTGAATGCAGCAGTCCAAACTACAAACACTGTAGCTTTTATATCAATTCACAGCTATTCTCAGTATATTCTGTTGCCATGGGGATATCAGAGTTCCAAACCTAGTGATTATAACACATTGGTAATTAAGAACAATTTCAACATCATTATAAATAAGTTTTGGGTAAACAATGTACGGAATCTCTACAAGTCAAACATATAAACAAATGAGAAATATAAGGATTAGTTAAACCAGACTTAAAAAAATCTAAAACAAAACAACGTTGTTCACTAAACTGTTACAAGCGCAATAGTTGTAAAAAAAAAATCTCTCAAAAATGTGGAGTGATGTCAGAAACTTCTGCCGGAAATAACAAATCCGTTCCCTACATGCTCCAAAAAATTCCGCGATTTTTTTGTATGCCTTTTTTTTATTTGTACTGCAACTGTGCTATTTGCGCATTCAAATTGCATTGAACCTCTATTCATTTGTGAGGTGACCGTATATCGTTTTGTTTTTGACGTTGATAATGTTCTTATATGATATTTAACTTTTTATTTCTTTGGCAAATATGTTGGAAATGATATGAAAAAACTACAATAATGTTATACGGGTAATAAAACTCAAAGTGTTCATTGACATCAGGGTCATTACTCTTTTCCATGACATGAGAGTCATTTATTTTCCATGGCATGAGGGTCATTACTCTTTTCCATGAAATGAGGATCATTAATTTTTCCATGACAAGAGGGTTTTTACATTTTCCATGGCAAGAGGGTCATTTCTTTTCCCATGACATGAGTGTCATTTCTTTTCCATGACATGAGAGTCATTACTATTTTCCATGGCATGAGGGTCATTACATTTTCCATGATATGAGGGTCATTACTTTTTAAATGAAATGAGGGTAATTTCTTTTACCTTAACATGAGGGTCATTACTATTTTCCATGACATGAGGGTCATTACTTTTTCCATGACATGAGGGTCATTACTTTTTAAATGAAATGAGGGTAATTTCTTTTTCCTTGACATGATGGTCATTAATTTTTCCATGACAAGAGGGTTTTTACATTTTCCATGACATGAGGGTCATTTCTTTTTCCATGACATGAGAGTCATTACTCCTTTCCATGACATGAGGGTCATTACTTTTTCCATGACATGAGGCTCATATCTTTTTCTATGACAGGAGAGTCAATACTCATTTCCATGACATGAGGGTCATTACTTTTTAAATGAAATGATGGTAATTTCTTTTTCCTTGACATGAGGGTCATTACTTTTTAATGACATGAGGGTCATTACTTTTTCCATGACATTAGGGTCATTCCTTTTTTTTATGACATGAGGGTTTTTACATTTACTATGACATGAGTCATAACGTTTTCCGTAAGGTGATGATCTTTACGTCACCATACATGGAAATATCTTAAAATTAGTAGCAGTGCTTCCCTTTACTTAATAAATTATATATTACCGCCCTACATTATCTGCGCTAGTTGAGTACTCCTTAAGCTCAGTTGGTAGAGTGTTATCTTTACTGTCCTAGGGAACTCGTAGCCATGAAAATTGTCAATTTTTAGAAGTTATCATAGGCCTGTCAGTAAATCAGGTTAGGGCAATTCATCTTTTGGAAGATTTGCTTTAAGGAACTATTCCCCATTAGATGGATTGTCTCTAAACGTTGAATCATTGTAATTCACCAGACATACCTATTCATTTTGTTAAGGTGAAAACGAACATAGTAAATTTTTAGTATTTCATCATTTTTCTATTTAGTTAAGGATAGCTAGGAGTGCTGAGGCAGAATTGGAATCATACTATAACACTGCCTTCCTTGTTGGAACACCTCCAGATATACTGTGTAAGTAAAACATATAAAATAGTGTAGGAAACAGCAACAATTTAATCTGCGACACTTGTTTTTTTCTGGCAGTGCCCATATTATTCCTTTTATATACCAACATGTAGACTGCATGCATCTACATTATTTTTATTTTGACAATATATTATGTACAAACCCTTCAGTTGAAGCTATTGACACGGAAACGTAGTATATATTATAAAATTGCTCTCGTATGAAAACAAAAACACATTTCCAGCCATCCAAAAAAGATAATCACCAAATTAATGCTGTTAAGCAGAGGTCCGTTAATTATGGTTGATTGATTGATTGTTGTTTTATTAACGTCCAGTTACAAATATTTTATGCATGAACAGTACGAGAACAAATTAACAATCATTACAAAAGCTAGGTTATGAAATAGGGGGTCGATTGAGTTGAAGGAATGAAAATTTGGAATGCCACTTGAAAATGGGGGTATTTTGGATAGGGACAGAAATTTAGCCTTGCATCAGGCCACCTACTGACCCCTCAAAGAGTTATTAACGTGCAGAGAGCGTGGCACTCTCGCTGAATTGTGTATAAATCCCTATTTTATAGTAAATGATAAAAAATATATTGGTCTGAATTCATGAATGTTTGCAAAACATCTGAAAGATTTGGGTACTAAGGGACAATGAACTTTGCTCAACTTTTCACCTTTTACTTTCATATAAACATTATCGGTTGTACTAGTATCTTATAAATAACGAAATACAGAAATGAAGGACCCTCCATTCACACCCTCCATTAACTGTTGTATCTTTAACTTTGCAGATGTTGCTTCTGGGGGAGCCTATGACCATATGAAGCTGAACAACGGCATCAAATACTCATTCACCTATGAACTTCGACCTGGAAGTGGAAGCTCGTGGGGTTTTGAACTTCCGGAAAACCAGATTGCACCTACAATTGAAGAGACATTCGCCTCACTTTGGAAATTTGCAGAAGAGATCTATGCGGATGATAACGCTACTGGCCGGAAGTAGAAAAATTTGACAATGATAGAAATACCCATACGACCGCACGATTAACAAGACTTATATGATTTAATCTATTTAATTTATATTTTTTCTGATTAAACATTAGGCGCAACCAATTTAACTTTTCATTACTTTCATATTAGGTGTCAACTGTTCGAACATTTATTTGAGGAGACCCATCACAGGATGTCTTTGTAGCGAGAGATTTTGCTGTAAATATTTTTTCTTATTTTTAACAGATTATTAATTTAAAAAAAAAAAGGCATTAAAAATTTGAAATGAATCGAATCATTGATGAATTAATCATTATGTCTATTAAATCTAGAAAAAAACATGTCATAAAATCTTCATACGCAACATTTTAATGTACTATAGTATAATTCTGTCTTCAACGACGATGTATAATTGTTTATGCGTCCATGGAAAACAAGCATACAATTCTGATTCAGTTCAGTAACATACTTCTTACTTTAATAAAGCCGATGCTTAATATCCGCATTCAATAAAATCGCTGTTTATGTTTACCAGGACACAAACTAGATGACACAACAAGTCAGAAAGCATTTGCACTATATGTATTGTGTAAACAAACGATATTTTGACAAATTCGGTGTTTTGTTGATCTGCATCTGGTTCCATTGCTCTCGAACGTTTTATATTTTTTACATTTTTAACTTTTGATGTCCAGTGTACTGGAGGAAGAGTATTTCAGATCCGCGTTTTGTGTTGCCGACAATCATATCATATTCTTCGCTTTTCCTTTTTGAATATTTCTTTCAGTAAGCTGATGAGGGTTCCAGTAGAGTACCCTCTTTAGGTCACAAGGTTACGTTTAAATTTCCCCAGGTCATCAGGTAATTTTTTTATTAAATAAAAGATTTAAATGAAACGGTTTGAACATTTTAAAAGTAAATTGTCTTTTAAATGAGCACCAGGTCCCAAGGTCGACCGCCAAACCCTACAAGGTCGGATGTCGGATTTGACCATGTTGGAGCCATCTAATGATGATCGGGGGATTTTTTCCCTTAAAATAAGAAAGGAGTAGGACGAAATTAAGTCGAATTTATTTCACACCAGGGCCATTTTTAAATAGTGTTTCTATTTTTACAAAATTCATAGTATCATGTGTACTTTAAGGTTCTAACAATATTTTGGCTTATTTCTAAACAGGTTACTTATCTATTAATAAACGATCGCACTGAATAATGCTCAAAACTGCAATTTTTAGAGATGTTTTAGTATCATTATAAGCTTATAATCGTTCAATTTAGGTACAGAAAATGCTGATATAAAATCAGAAGAAAGCACTTTGGAAAATAAGCCGTGAGAACTCTACACTTATACAACTATGTACGGACTGAGCAAATGAATTAATATATATATATATATATATATATATATGTCCCCTTTAGTAAAAATAATACTTAACCATGTTTAAGATGACTCATTGACCGCAGATATTAACCTACAAATACATGCATATCAGAAATGAAATCCATAAAACAGTAAGAGGATATAAAAACTGTTCCGTAGAAGTAGACTGAAAAGTCGAGGGGGCAATCTTCTAAAAGTGACAAGCATGCTGTACTTTAATAACCTGGAAGTCATTGTTCTCTTTCAGTTTCATTTTCTATTCGCTTCGCAATAAATTTGTTTTACCAACGAAAGGTGGGTGGTGCAAAAACATAGTTTTGCCTCCTCCGACTCCTTTCCTGATTACTGACATAAATTATCCATCATACAAATTCTTATAATAGTACAGTTTCTGTAAACCATTTCTTCTTTAATATGAAAAGGTTTGAATTCAAACCCTCCTTTTCTGATTCTGATATATAGGTGATTGAAGGATGTTGATTTTCGGCATTTTTAATGGTCATATTAGGTGCTTGAGAGAGAATTTTTCATTCATTTATAATTGGGAAATCCATATTTAAAGAAAGAAACTGAAAAGGTATGTCTAATTAATTAGTATCAAATGTCCACATATTATAGAATGTAGCTGCTTGATTGATGGATTGGTGTTTGCTAAACGTCCAGTGGCAAATATTTCATGCATATTAAGGACGAGACAAAATGATTAACAATAATTTAAATGGGTTCGGCAAAGTGGAACAACGGGAATGAAAGTCTTGAATTTCTAATGCCACTGGGTAATGAGTGTCAATTAGGGGCAAAATGTTCAAATCACAAAACCTTTCAATGAATGCATGCATATATGGTGCAAGGATTCTTGAAAAAATAGAGATAAATCGGATTCAACGTGCAGATTCAGACCTGAAGTGACTGCGTATTAATACATTCCTAACACCGTAATGGACACCCCTGTTAAGCATGAAAGGATTTACCGTCGGATGGGAAAAGACCAGGTATGACCATATTTTTATACTTTAGTCAGCTCTCGGGGTAATTGATTATGGATTTGGTAATGGATTAACTATGGAACACCACAACGATGATCTAAGTTTAACTCTCTGGAATTTGTAGTGAATAAATTGAGAAAAAAAATCCCATTTCGAGAAATCAAGTACATCTAAAATACTATTCGGATAGATTACATCAATACGTATATTATAAAGAATATTTACATGTACATTATTTACAGTATAAAACATTTCTACATCTATTTAAAATAAGATAACAGGTTTTGGTTCAGCTACGAATCATATTAATATCTGTGATTAAACCACTAATTTTTGTTTACCTTTAAAAACAAAATCACTATAAAAGTATGTTGCTTTATCAAATAAACTTTGTCTAAAATCGCCATATAATGGACACGTTAAAACTACATGGGCTTCTAAAATATTTTTACAATGATCACAGACTCCATCTTGTAAAAGTAGATTTTTAAATCTCACTGTTTCGATTCTTAATGGTGCCACTCCACATTGAAATTTGGAAAACAGATCTTCTGAATCTATGTATAAATGGCATAAGAATTTTGCAATATCTTTCAGTTACAATTTTTCTCTTAAATAAATTATATGTTCGAAGTTTATTGCCACCTTTACCAGATAGATTTCTCTCTGACTTTGTAAATTACATTGCCACTGATCAACGTATTAACTAAATATTATAAACACAGCAATATTATATTACCAACTGAGGTACTATCAATTTATTCTGTAATGTTACTCATATATTCTACGTTGTACTCTGAAAATGTTTTCCTTACATAAAAATTACACTTTTTTCATACACCTGTGTTTTCTACTCTTAATAACGGTTCAATATGAAAACCTTTCTGTCTCATATCGTTCAATGTCGAATTAAACATAGATAGTGTTTTTGAAAGATAGGTGTCCACGTGGTCCATATCCCCTGCAATTGTAGCGTTTGGGGTATATTTACTTACTCCAAGAAAACATTTGCAATCTTAATTATGTTTGGCATTTATAATACTAGGAATCTTTTTATTTCACTGAAAGGATGTGAACTTTGTCAATCAAATTTTACAATGAGAGATAGTAGTTTTCTCTGTAAATATATGCGGGTGTGGATGGGGGTTTACAGAATAGATAATAATAATGGGTAAACAATATAAAGAATAGAGAAAAATGAACCAATAAAATAAAAAATAGAGAATAACGAGGTGCTACAATAAAAAGAATAGAGAATAATGGGCAAAAAGTATAAAGAATAGAGAAACGTTGCCTAAAAAAATTAAAGAATACAGACATGAAGGACCCCCATCCAGACCCTCATGTATAAAAAATGAAGACGATACAAATTAATAGAGCAATCAAAAACAATGTCTATGAAGGATGCACAAATCGATGACAGAAAGAGAAAATGACAAACAACAGACCACAAATAAAAACAAATCAAGAGACATTGAAAATGTCCCTCTAAGAATATATTTCACTCCAAGATAAGAATTATTCATTCGTAAAACAATACTGTACACTATTTACTTTTTCGAACTTCAATATTCTTTTCAAATTTGTCACGTCAACACAATATTTATTCAGAAATTTAAATGTAGAATACCTGACTGAAAATCATGTTTATAAATAATTACGATCGATTTTCTTGTGCGTTTAAATGTGATTTATTGAGGTAAATATTTATATACTACACACTTTGAAGATTCTATATCAAGGTGAGTGCAATAAGCAATTTGACAATGCATGCTAAAATGTGACAATACGATCTGACAAATTATTATTTCACATCTATTAACCATAGTCTTGTTGTTTACTGGTATCTATGGAAAGGAAAGGGATGTAACTATCTCATGTTAAAATGAACGAACTTTCTGGCTTGCACGGTTAGATCTTGTTTGTTTTTATTTGTCAAAGATTCAAAACCTACCAGCCAGCCAGGAAGAAAAACATACACAACACACTAACTAAACAAAGCAATACATATATAAACGTCGTGTGCAATATGATCATGAGTGGCGTATATCATCATACTCATTCTTGTTTAAAACTTTTATCTTGCAAAATACACTTTAGTATAGAATGTTTTTATTTTGAACCAAATCTATAATGAATGGAAAGATACATAATTATAAACACTTTTAATCAAACAAAGAAGATGAGGGGTAGATGTTTCCAATCGACATAAATAAGGCACAACAGGGGAGAGTATGCAGTCTCAAACAACAAACAGATATATACCAACATGTCACCTTGAAACTTACCTCTTTATCTAAATAAAAAATCTGGTATATTTAATAAATTTTACTTCATACCACCAAAAACGTATTGACAAGCGGAATGGCACAAAGAAACATTGACATTGAATTTAGTGTTAAATAAAATGAATATAATTTATAAAGGCCATTGTAAACATAATAAGTTAATTGCTAGATAAAAAAAATATTGTAACATGCACACGAATGATTTATTGATTTCGTACCCGGCATCTATAGACAAACGTTAATTCGTTGTTAGTCACTTAATTACCATTATTTACTCACTTAATAAAAAAATTCGGAACAAGTAATCTAAAAACCATGACATTAATATACTAAAAATTGAGAATGGCAATGGGGAATGTGTCAGAGAGACAACAATCCGACCATAGAGCAGACAACAGCCGAAGGCCACAAATGGGTCTTCAATGCATCGAGAAACTCCCGCACCCGGAGGCGTCCTTCAGCTGGCCCCTAAACAACTATGTATACTATTTCAGTGATAATGGACGTCATACTAAACTCCAAATTATACACAAGAAACTAAAATTAAAAATGATACAAGACTAACAAAGTCCTGAGGCTCCTGACTTGGGACAGGCGCAAAAATGCGGCGGGGTTAAACATGTTTTTTGAGATCTCAACCCTCCCCCTATATATACCTCTAGCCAATGTAGAAAAACAAACGTACAACAGTACGCACAGTAAAACTCAGTTTAAGAGAAGTCCTAGTCCGATGTCAGAATTGGAAACAAAAGAAAATAAACAAAATGACAATAATACATAAATAACAACAGACTACTAGCAGTTACTGACATGCCAGCTCCAGACCTCAATTAAACTGATTGAAAGATTCTGTCTTCATCATATGAATATCAGGCACAATCCATCCTGTTAGGGGTTTAGTATTATACCATCATAAAATATATGAAAAGAACATAACCCGTGTCATGCCAACAACTGGTTTTAGAATAAATATGTCTATTTTAGGACAAATATCAATTTGCTTATTTATAGTTAGGAGCAAGACTGTGGTCCTTTCTGCATTAAATTTCTGCAGATCTTCGGTAGTTGTTTTAATTTTCATAACTTGTTTAGACTTGGTGCGCTTTAAGCTTGGAATGTAGTAAAGACACCTGTCTATTGTTGGCTTAATTTTCCAAGTTTTTTTTGCAATATAAAACAAGGAAATGTTGTATGATTGCTAAAAGAGAGGCAAAAGATACCAAAAGGGACATTCAATAATGCTAATGAAACTACATTTCAACAGAGTCCAACTGACGTGGAATTAAGTATATATAGGTCACCGTATGACCTTTAACGATGAGCAAAGTCCGTTCCGAAAGTTTGGTTATTGAAATTGTTATGTAAATAATTGTCCTATTCAATCTTAATTTTCTGTATATATATCATGAAGTAACCGTGAGAATGATGGACATTTTATGATGCAATTTTTAGATTTCTTTACGACTTGTAGCGTGATCAAAAGTATTCTGCTAAAACCGGTGCTACGGGTCGTATTAAACGTACAGAGAAATGAGCGGTTTTGCTGCATTGTGAATGCCTCATTGAAACTTTTAATTGAGGAACATCATTAAAAACGCTGTTTCTTTCCTTTACACTTAAATCGTTCTTTTACATATCTTTAAAGTATTTGACAATAATTTAATTTTGGATGTAACACGTCTTCTGATTGGCTGAAAGTTTTTTGTCTATCAGCTCATAGGCATAATTTTGTCATGTGACCGTGACGTCATCAACGTTTTTTTTCATGATTTACTCCTTAAAAATGGAATTTAGAAATAGATTATAAGGAATGACTGTAATATTTTTCTGTCTATTCGAAATAACCTAAAAAATGTGGTGCACACTTTTGAATAACCCGCAATGCGGTTTATTCAGTGTGCACCACATTTTTTTATGTCATTTTTTCATAGACAGAAAATATATTATAGTCATTCATTAAATAACGTACAGGGCTGTGTATTTTCATCCGACTACGTAACTTAACCTGTTAATACATCTGTATTTGCGACATTTAGCTCAATTCTATAACAAACATAAGAATTCTGTCGAAGAATCTAAATAGTGTAGTTACTTTGGAGCAACCGCATAAAAATAGAAATGAAAACTTAATACACTTGAATATTTGGGACGGTTATAAAAAGTTTGTAGTGAATTTTCCAGTAAGGGAATCTGGAAATCGCGAACAATTGTTTTTACAGTAAAAACATATTAAATTGTATTTTTCTTTTGTACAGTCTATTTGTAGTTTCATTTCAACTTTTTTATTTTAAAACTCGAAGGAGGAAGTACATTAAAGAAAAGTTACAAATATTTACATTATACCTCACAGAATATTTTGATTTTTTGTTCAATAAAATATAATTATAGATGTTATTGTTGAAAATGATAGTTACATGTACATTGTACATGTCTTTTAGTAAAAAATGTCATTCTTGGATTCTAGCTCGTTTTATTCAGAACGCAAACACATGTGGGGCTTGTTTAAAAATATATACAATTATTCTGTTTCACCCAAGAAGTTGGCGGAGACATAACTATTTCAGTTCATGAAAACCAAGAGTTATTAAACAACAACAGAGATGAATTACATGTGTGGTATTTGTTAAACAGGTGCATGTACGCTGTCACCAATAAGCTTGGTTGAGACGAGTTCATCTTCGTCAATATAGCGAACAAGCAAAATTTAGCAACTATAATTAAGTTGAGAAGTATGAGGGTCTGGATGGGGTTTACAGAATAGAGAATAATGGGCGTAATGTACAGAAAAATCAACAAAAAACAAAGAATAGAGAGTAATGGGGTGCTAAAATATAATGATTATAGAATAAGGGGCAAAAATATAAAGAATAGAGAAAAAATACCTAAAATTTTAAAGAACACAGGAATAAAGGACCCCTAATCCAAACCTTCAAGTATCCGTCTCCACAGTTTGTGTTTTAATCTTCAGATGTCTAGCATAAAGATATCAAAAGATCAAGATATCAGAAAATTCACAGTAGTTGTTATTCTTACAATACTGGGATCTTGAAATATAAAGAATAGAGAATAATGGACCAAGAAAAAAATAGAGAAAAAAGGACTAAAAAAATTCAGAAATGAAGGACCCTGCATCCAGACACTCATATTTCTCAATTTATAGCAAACAAGCAAAATTTAGCAAACTACAAGTTGAGAATTTGTTTAAATTTTCAGATGTTTAGCATAAAGCAACCAAAAGATCAAGATATCAGACAATTATCAGTAGATGTTATACCTTACATAGACGTCAAAGCAGACAAGAAGACATTATGTTCGACTTTAGAAACCATCAATTCTATTCTACGACATGGCAAGAGTCATCAGAAATTAGAATGTGTGGAGACGATTATGTTAGCTGTGTACATTAAAGACACGAAGCAGTCAAGGAACTTTGACAAAGCCCTAGAGAAGACTAAAGTATTTGGTAAGTACACACAATGTTAGCTGTGTCAATTGACGAGCCGAAGCCTTCAAGGAACTTTGACAAAGCCCTAGAGAAGACTAAAGTATTTGGTAAGTACACACAATGTTATCTGTGTCAATTGACGAGCCGAAGCCGTCAAGGAACTTTGACAGAGCCCTCGAGGAGACTAAAGTATTTGGTAAGTACACACAATGTTATCTGTGTCAATTGACGAGCCGAAGCCGTCAAGGAACTTTGACAAAGACCTAGAGAAGACTAAAGTATTTGGTAAGTACACACAATGTTAGCTGTGTAAATGGACGAGCCGAAGCCTTCAAGGAACTTTGACAAAGACCTAGAGAAGACTAAAGTATTTGGTAAGTACACACAATGTTAGCTGTGTAAATGGACGAGCCGAAGCAGTCAAGAAACTTCAACGAAGCCCTAGTTAAGAATAAAGTATTTGATAAGTACAATCTTTTCGTCAATCGGAAAAAATATCATAGGTTAAATTAGACAATTGTCTGTTTACTTTCAAGATAATTATGGTTATTGCAAAGGCGGCAGTTTTATTCTTCGTTAAGAACAGTACTAAAACCTATGTTTATGTCAGAACTATTTTCAACTCAATGCTTTTATATTGGCCACGTGGTCCGAAAAAGGAAGAATCACGGCTTGTGTTAGGAATTTCCACATTATTCATCTTCTTCTCTACAAATTGGCATACAATTATTTTTTTCAGAAACAATGCTAGAACTCATGAAATTTAAAGATTACAACGACTTACTCTTCAAAGATGACGAGACACGTAACCTAAATATAGGAATTGTCTCATGTACCATGAACGTCACCAATTTTTTAAAAGGCGTCGGAGTAGTAAGTAATTTTACATTAATTTGACAAAAGACGTCATTGATTAAATTTGAAGACAATCGGAAAATCTCGGCAGATTCCGCTACCGTACAACTAACTTTTTATATATGCCGAAGAGTGCCGAATGAACTTGAAGCTTGATTAATCCGCTTCACTATTTATACCTAAACACTGTAGGGTAATGAGTGAAGAGAATGTCTAAGTAAATCGCAAACCTTCCTATAAGACACCGACAAAAAATTAATCACACCTATTACATACAGTTTGAATATACATTTGAGAGGTATTAGAATGAAATCTATTTTTACTCATTGTAACTCATTTTGTGGTAACGCTCAATTACTAGTTTTTTCACATCTGTTCCACGTGAAAGTTAACTGCATATGACAAGAGAGGCCGCGGAAAGATACTCTCATTAGTTAAAAATTAACTGACAACGCCATGGCTAAAAAAGAAAAAAAGTTCAAATGACAAACAACAGTATTCAACGCAACACAGAAAACTAAAGACTTAGCAACAAGAATCCAAACAAAGATCGCGGGAGGGTAAGCAGATCCTGTTCCAATTGTGGAACCCGTCGGGTCATGGATATCACAACTGTTAAATAGTTACAAATAATACATTATGCTCGTTAAATGTTACATTTAGAATTCACAATTAAACGGACACCCACTCATGATATACATAATTTTGATAATCAACCTCAATAGTATTTTTAAACGTGGTACGTTTCAAGTGAGCTTTGAAAGTGACCAGATATAGATTCGTTACCCTTCTATTAAGTGGCAGTATGTTGAAGTGACAAATACTAAAAATATACAGCTCATGCCACCAATTTGTTTAACACTGGGTAAATGCAAATATTTTTAGTTCAGTGATATTTTTTTAGGAATCGTTGACCTACTAGACAAACTTGACATTTTAAATCAAACGGCATAGAGTTGTGGTACATCACATGACATTAGAAAATATAATCAGAATACTGTTAAACCAGGCATGCGCCAGAAAGTAATCACCAACTAGTTGATGTTTTTCTGTATATAAAGAAGAGAATAAGAAGATCATTTCTAAGATTATACGGAATTCGAAATAAGTATAATCGGAGTCTCCACGAGATTTCCGTTGGTTATAACTATCGTACATGTATGTATCCACCCTTTTCTGTTTCATATTTTGAGGTGCGTGCCTTTCTTCATTGCTTTTGTACTGTCTCTCTCTCTTTCTATCTATCTATCTACCTATCTCTGTCTATCTATCTATCTATCTATCTATCTATCTATCTATCTTTCTTTCATTTTTCATTTTTTTCTTTTTTTTCTTTCTATTTTTTTTTAGTTTAAACATATTTATGTAGAGTGGATTGGGAAGCAAGTTATTACAACTTATATTCCCGTTCCACTTTTCGGGTGCCTTGTAGCGGCATTAGCCTGCTCTTTTTCGAAATCTACAAGGGTGTCTTTTACGTGCAAGCGATATTGCTCTCTCTTAACACGGGCCAGCCATTTATCGTCCCCTTCCGACGGACTAGCATCTTTTTTTCAATACCATACATGTACTCGCAAATGGTGTCGAGGGAGAGCCGAAAATTCAGTCCCTGAAATTTTCTCCCCGGAACGGGGATCGAACCAGGAACCTTTGTGTTTGTAGTCCGATGCGCTAACCACTACACCACGGCTCTATCTATTTTTCTTTCTTTTTATCTTTCTTTCTAATTTTCTATTACTTCTGTCATGTTTTTTCTTACTATCTATCTTTCTTTCTTTCTGTTATTTTTGTAATAACATGACAATATCGTAGGATGCGAACCGTATTTATGTTTGTATTTTTTCCAATATTGTTACAGGCGATTGCAGAGGCTGGTGGTATCTCATTTTTAACGGACATTTGTAGATTTAAGCCATTCCTCGACAAATTAGAGAACGAGGTATGAACTTATTAATATCAAATATGCATTTATTATAAATATCACAATCATATGACAAATATAAATATACTTATGAGATATTTTCAAAGATAGCAAAGATAGTTGACCATTAATAGAACATACGAAACACAGGAAGGGTCTGGATAGGGGGGATATTCATATATGTATCCACATTTTTAGGCCATTTTTATCTGTAAATATTTGTGTGAAAGCCAACGTAAATTGTGGCACCGTTCTCAATCTAATGACGCAACTCACTGAGAAAGTTGAAAAAATGACATAAAAAAGTTAGGTAGAACCCTTTTCGTTTTAGATTTTTTTTCAAATTTTTATATTATGAAGTTCTGGTTTTCCAACTTTTTGCCTGGAGTGTACCTAACAAAAGTAATTGATGAAACCCATAATGGCAAACAGAAACCAAATAAAACGTTTGCTATACATGATTACTTATATCTTATGATCCGCCACTCAGTGACTTGGGACTTATTCAGTCCTGGTGTCCGCAGCTGCCGGTTTTTTTCAGAATCGAGCCTTTTCTTGTTCCTCTAGTTATTGATTAGCTGCTTTGTCGATTTGTTCTGTTTCAGACCAAGTTCCCGTTTCATTGCCCATGACATGCTTTCAGGGAAACACGAATCATGGACAAAGAAAACATAACATTATAGGAAAATTTAACTCGTCCGGACTTTTTGTTGTTTTTTTATTAAAGTAATGCCTTTTATTTATTTTTCAGCATATCTATTCCTTCATTGTGAGTGTTGTAGCCACTTTACATAACATAGCTCGCTTGACTTCAGTTCCACAGTATTTCAGTGACAGTAAGACTGCAGAGGTAATTACAAATACTTAACCTTATTTTAATGCTTCAAATTACAGAAAAAAAGAATCAAAGAGGCAGTTTCATTTAGATACACAAAAACTAAAAACGACAAACAAGCAAAACAATAAAAACGGCAACTAAACAACAGTTGTAGATTTGGGACAGATCTTTCATAAGAAGCATAAATATAGATAAGTCGCTGCATTTCTAAATATTAGAAAGCTAGTATAATCACAGAATAAATAACACGATACAAAAATGAACCAAAACTAAATATTCTAAGGGATCAACCATTTAATTTCAAAGGGACGTGGTAATGTTTTTTGTCTGAGTCAGATTTTTTTTCCGCCCAAATTCTGATCTATTCTATTTAGTTTTTCAACGCTTTCAATCATTTTTTTTCATTATCTAATACTATAAGGCATGGGGAAAATCCGTATTGAGAATATTTCTTTTGGTCATCTGCTTGACCAGAATATTTTTCCCCCATCTAATTGGGGATCAGAATACCATATCCCTTTTTTTTTAAAGTTAAATGGTCGTTCCCTAACGAGGACACTTGTATTGCAGACAAAAACCTTTTCGACTCAAGTTATGTACAACAATAAATCTTGCTTCTTTTCTGCAATATCTTTAGGCAATGGTACCATTTTTCGATTGTACGGACGAACGACTAAAAATCTACGCATTCATAGGAGCAGCTCAGACTTGTAATGATAGCGAAATTCACATGCTAGTTGATACCAAAGGAGTGATTTCTTCTATACTGAAATACTTACAAAAGGCCACAGGAAGCTGCAATTATTCTTATGGTGGAGCTGAATTAAAGGAACTGTTGGAAGGTATCGAAAAATTAGCAAGCGCGGATCCAAATAAAAAGAAGGTAAATTTAAAGTCACCTGTAGAAGATACTACGTATGAATTATTGATGAAATACTGTAAGAAGACAGAAGGGGGTGAGGGCCAATATCAGTAACAAACAGTACAACTCTATGTGTACGTTCATTTGTGAAACATATTAACGATCGTTCAATGGATGATGCCTTGCGACCATAAATTATTGTTTGATGATATATTTTAATTGAATACATTCTTGACGTATCAAAGTTATATAATAACTGAAGTAGTCCAAAGTTACGGGGAACGAAACAATCTCTGAGCAAATGAAGGTGATGAAGGATATATAGTTGTTTAGAAAAGAGAAATTAACTATATGGGAAATGAAAAAGTAGTATTTCCCTAGATTTGGTACGAAAGATCACTATATTGGAACAGCTTTTAGGATAAATGTCAAGAAGAATGCCTTTTATTTTAAAATGAAAAAAATATATAATTTTCACTACACCGACAGTAAGATTGAAACTGACCTAACGTCGTAAGTACGATTTCAAGCTTCTTTGTCATGTTTTATTTAGATTAAGTTTATTTATTGAATTTTTCTCATTTTTCAGATTTTAGAAGCTGGTGCCTTACCAATATTCCAGACAATCTTAGATCTTGATAAACCGGAAGAACAAGCATTAACAGCAAGAGTTTTGTGGACTATGACTTTTGATGATGACGTTGCCAAGGAAGTAAAATCCTCGAAAGCTTTGCTAGACAAATTACAGATTTTGTCGAAATCATCAGATAAAGCCGTAAGAAGTAACGTAAAGGGACTACTATATAACCTTGACCATAGGAGTAAAAAGAAAGCTCAAGGTAGTGTACTAAGTTCTTGTATGCAATGTTTTCATGTTGTCTCTTTTTTTGACAATTATGATTGTTATTGTATGTTTTAACTTCCGGTAACTCATATAGAACTTAGACGACCACCCCCAAGTGACCCAGTGAATATTTGTTGCAAATTTAGTTTGTTCACGTACGCTAGAGGGAAATAGTGTTTTATTTTATGGATTTGGTTTGCCTTCGGTACCTTACTATGTGAAGGAAGTAAACATCCAAGAGCTCTGTGACTCGATGTATGAATATAATGTATTTTGATTCCTTTTTACGAATAACTGCAGTGTGCATATTAAAAAATCTTAAACAAAATTAAACAATTTTTATATACATTTTGAAACATATGGAAATATAACTTTCAGAATTATTCGAAAAGGGTTCTGAATTTTCATAAATTGCATGCAGAATGACGGCCACCCTGGATGCTATAAACAAGTTCCACTGGTTGATATGCTCCATTTTCAAAGACAAAATAATGAAAAAAATCAAACATTTTCCTGGTTTATTATCAAAAAGCAGCAAATTGAGAAAATGTTAGTATTGTCGCCTATTGATGAAAACAAATCAATTGTTCCCTGTTTAGTGTTAGTGTTGGTGTTTTTTCTTTCATATATCCGTTACAATGATTTCATTATGTGTTGAGACCGTGATAATTTCTGTGTGATAAGAATGCAATGATTTCATTTGCTAACATATTATGTAAGTTGGCTTGTAAAATAGCGATACACAGATATATATGATCTTCCAAACTGGAAGATTCTCAGTCTTAGACGAGATTGTTACTGAACACTTGTTTTTAAATAACTTTCAAAAGAAACACTAGACTCTTATTATTTTGGTAGCCATAAAAACACAATACCATCGCGTGTGATCGATATTACTTATAAAACCATAATAGTGTTCATATGGTATTGGAAAATATTTGATCTGACTGCTTTTTCTTTGCAGTTCTCTTCACCTGATGTATGTTGCCAATTATATTGACATGCACATGATATTGTATTTACCTATCAAAAAAGACTTCAGCAGAGACACTATAGAACGATTTCGTAAGGGAGCATCCATTTAACTTCAAAGGGGGAAGAGGTTATGTTTTTTTTTTAAAGCGCGAACATTTTTATTGAGTTTTTCGATGCTATCAATCATTTTTTTTTTTCAAATTTATATGGTATAGGGAAAATCTGGATTCATAATATATTTTTGTCATCCGCTTTACCAAAATATGTTTTTTTTAAATCAAATTGTGGATCAGAATATGTTTTTTAGGGAAAAAAACGCCCCCCTTGAAGTTAAATGGTCGTTCCCAAACAGTCGAAGTCAATTGATAGCTATCAAGTAATAATGATATTCTAGTGAACAATTGACTTGTTCAATATAACAACATCATTACATGTATGTTGATGACCAATATATTGTTTTTATAGCAGAAGATCAGTTTTTTGCCAAACAAAAGCCAAGTACATTTAAAGCAGCAAAACAGCAAGACAAACACTTATTTATTAGTTATTCATGGAAGGAAAAAGAAATTGTTTTAAAACTGAAAGATCTTTTACAGGTACGTTCAATCCATTGAAATATCTACTCATTTATTTTAGAGAAAAACACACAAGTGACATCATTTAATGAAATATGCCTTAACAATAGATAAAAGACTATACATTAATTGAAAGAAGTGACACAATGATAAAAAAGTATACCCAAGATAAAATCCACTTGTGTTTTCGTATGCAAAATTCAGGGTATTTTTCTTGAATTAGGATTCTAGATTACAGATATTGCATGACAATATGAACCACCATGGTTATCTCGGGGTTGCTAAGAAAAAACTAAATATCTCACATTTAATTTCTGAAAATAGTTATATAAATCAATACATTCATTTACAACAAACAAGATGTATTATAGATGCTATGAACAAGTGTTGAGTCTTGAAATAGAAACAATGAGCCCGGCAAGCAAATGGTTTGTTTTTCATGAATCAACGCTTATCCATTGTATCTTAAACTATTGTGTTTTTTTTTCAAAATTAAAGAATGTTCTTAATATGAAGATAAGTGAGAATAAATAACCATGTTTTCATGCATAATAAATAAATCAAGACATAAATAAGTTATATTCAAAATCGTTTTAATGTATATATATAATAAGTATGTTACCAAAATTTCTAGCAAGAACCCTATTTATAGGCACATCACAATTTACTGGCATAGGTATTTTCGATTAAACATTTGTAAAGATATGTAGTAAAACAGATGAAATCATACTATATATAGAAAACAAAAATTGACAAATGGATTACAATAATTTTGTCTTATCGAATAAGCTTACAGGCCAATAACAATAAAAAGTACACGGGAAAACCAGCTAAAAAAATATCCACAATAACATACAAAATAAGAAAAACGGAAAAACGTAAGAAAGAGACATCAAATAGAATACAAGGATTCGATTATTGTTTTTAAATTAGTCATCAGCAAATCTCTACCTCTAACTCGAATCTTTAAAGGGGCACTAGCTACGAGATATATAAAAAATCTAAAATAAGATTTTTTGTGTTCAATCATTAATGAAAGTGAAATAGTCAAATAATAATTCGCTTTTAACACTTTTTTCACCATTAAGTGAAATAAAGGTAAATCATTTAATGGGCTGATTTTCGATCCACAAAAACTCATTCGTATACAGGTAAAAACAGTGATTAACATATATTTTTAATCTATAATATGAAATTAATCAGACCTAGAGAAATCCAATTGCACGAGTTCACTATCTATTTATATCTATGTTTATGTTTATTTCGCTATATGATCATCGGAGGTCTTCGGAGGTCAATTTGATAGTTAATTAGATGGCGTCTAGACTAAAATATACACGAAACGAAGATACATATTATCGACCCTATGCCCTGTCAATTGTTTATTTTAGACTTTTTAAAATTTGGATAAATGTTTTACATTCATTTGTTTTAAATCAAATTTGAGTCAAATCGGTGAACATGAATTTGACAGCTAGTGCCCATTTAAATCATTTATCTTAACCATTTTAGCCAACTATACTATACGATTGCCTATTATGTATATGTTTATATATAAAGGTACAAGCCCTGTGTATCCAATGTACCGGTTTATATCATATTTTCATTTATATATACAAATTAGACATTAAACTGCAACCAATTGGAAGCCGAGAGGTTTCGTATATGTGTTGATGTTAGTCACAAATAACTGATTTCAAGGACGGGGGATTAGTCCTAGTGAAGGCATAAAAAATTAAAAAAATTGAAGGTAAGTTTTTGAATTAATTCCATTAGTGAACAGAAATCCATTACTTAGCCGATACAAAGTTAATGAAATTAGGCACACAACGGAAACAATTGAAGATAATTTAATGAGCTCATCTTATTTTTTTAATTTGGTCAATCAGAAAAAAAAGAACATCTCTGTCGGTAAGGTGTGCCAGTTTATCAGGCTACAACGATTAAAACAGAGCCTGTCAAATATGAATCATGCAAAATGTGATTTCTGAGTAGATGATGAATATGTTAATTGGTTTACGACGGACACAGTCAGAGCAGGCACATATTGATGATGAGAACTAACATGGTCCTATTGGAGAGGTGATCTAAAAACGTTTAACTTCAATAAAAAAAATGACACATCTGGCCGTGCTAAATACTACCGAGCCTGTACAGCCAAGTTGAATAAACTAACAAATGAAGTTATCATCCATATGGCATAAACAAAAATGGTTAAAATATCAGTGGCTAGGGCTGACATATAAGATAATTCAAAATGATGAAGAATATGGAACACTCAATTTCAATAAACTTGTTTTAGGAAAAAGGGCTACTAATATGGATAGATACAGAACAAATGAGAGGATCCACTTTACAAGCCATGGCTGAGGCGGTAGAGAATGCAGCACTTGTACTTATTTGTATGTCAGAGAGTTATAAACATAGCCCTAACTGTCGATTAGGTAAGTGCTAAATGGAGATTTGAGTTTAATCCTCAGAAATCTGTTATCTTATGCTACAAAACTGAACTAGACAATGTATTCAATCTAGGTGATAATAGTGTTAACGTTTCAACTGGGACCAAGCACCTTGAAATATCAAGGACGGTTGACTTATCACCGATCACAGATATTCAGCATTCATGTAGGAAGGGTCGCAATCCTAATTTTGCTATAGCCGGACATGGATCTTGTTTGTTAAATCCGTTAACTGTGTGTGGCCTGTACAATAAAATCGTTATGCCTGCGGTACTTTACGGATGTGAGCTTTGGAATGGGATAAAACCAAAAGACATAAGGTGTCTTGAAACTTTCCAGCATTTCATTGTTGAACATATTCAAGGCTTCCCTAAACGAACACAGTCAGATATGTGTGAATCTATGACCAACCTTAAGCGACTACCTATACTAGTAGAAAAACGGAAATTTATGTTCCTGTATAAACTTTGCGAAATGAAAGCCGAATCACTTACCAAAAAAATTTTCATTTATAGACTTTATCAGTTTTTCGGAGATACCCGTAGAAAACAATATTGAATCATCCCAAATGTAATTAACATTTTATCAAAATTTTCACTTTTGAATTTTTTGAATAGCTATATGTTTACGGGCAGTTTCCCAACCAAAATTTTCAGTGGAAAAACATTGTCAATAGTGCGATTAACCTGAGCGAGAGACTTCAAAAGGAAGATCGATTGCGTAGTGACAACGATTTTATAAGATTTCTTAGATTGTCTGAGAACAATAGCTATGATTTCCTGTGGCATATGCAAAAATTACTGGCCGACTTCTAACCGCGAAACATGTAGCTAAACTTTGGTCTACTCCCCCGACTAGCGGAAATTGCAACTTGTGTGGACACTTTGTTCAAGATACACTTTACCACCAAATTAGTATGTGCACAGAACTTCAAACACAAACACACTTGCTATATAAGATTATCAGAAATGACTAGTGACAATTTCGTATACACACTGCTTTCAAAATCAGACGAGAATGGGTCTTGCTTTCTGCTTGGCAATCAGGAAGCTCTCTTGGACTTTTAAACACCATAGCATTGCTTGGAAGTCCTTAGCGAAGGATTTTCCTTTCTAAAATACTGTAGACTGTAAATACTTTTCCATTCAAAATATTAAGTGACATTCTATTATATAATTTCAAAACTTTATAATTGTACATAATTTATATATGCATGTTGTCAATCTCCTATAGGAGGAAATAAAGTATGATGATGATGATGATGATGATTTTTATGGATAAGAAAACAATGTTGAAATTTCTGGGAGGATATACATGGTTTTTATTTTTATTTTGGATAATATACATATAAATAAGATCGCCAATGAGACATATCTCCACCAGACACAAACTAACGTATAATTTATCAACTATAGGTCAATTTACAGTCTTCAAAAATGATCAAAACACATACGACATAGCTTACTATAAAAGCATATTACTGCATTTCTTGTTTTTTAATACAACTCATCCGATAATCCTTTTCTGAGGTACAATGTACGAGACAAAATACAAACCGCACTTGACAAAAAAAGAAGCATGATTAAAAACATGGGAAACCTTTGAATTTTTTTATTACCTCTCACTGTAAGTCATACTTTGAATTGCATAAAAACGTAATGTTTACTCATAAACTAGCCCGACACACAATGTATTTTCTACAATTCAGTCTGCTGAATAATAAACACATATATACACTTCTTTTTAAAATAGTTTGATCCTACGAGACCCGTATCTACGGGCAAAGCTATTTTATTCTACTTTAAGATCATGTAATATTCCTGTCAATGCATTAGTGAAACACACTATGCCAACTAGAATCTAATTGTCACTTTATTGACTTTCAGAATCAGAGTACACATATAGATGCGGCAAAGAGTTTATCCCACTGATGGTTCAAAAATATTATAAACCTGATGGCTGGTTAGGAGCTCTGCTAGGAACAAAACTATTTATAGACTTTAGTGGAAAATACCAGTTTGAACCAAAATGGAATGAACTAATCAAAGAACTTCAAGCACATAAAATGTTAGGAAAAGAAGAAGCAATTCAGAAGACGACCATTGGTGAGTAGAAAGAATACAACTCAACATGTCCATTTTAACGTCAATAAAATGATATCTGAAATTCACTATCTTATCCAACACCACAAATGCACTTTTAAAAATACTGAAACGGAACTGACAACGCGACCATCCACGACACAACTAGATAAGTAAAATATTCTATGATGAGAAGTTATATTTATGGGTAGGGGTAAAAAGCATATCATCATTTAAATAAGGGTTGCAGTTCTATTGGTAGATTTATACAGTCTGAAATAATCCCATCTAGTCAGATAAATAGCGTTGCCAGTTGGAATCAATATAATGCTACGTTCCTGGTGATACATTGATGTTTCCTGGAAAATTAAATTATAAACAAAATAATGGACTTTATGGAGAAGAATGTTATTATGCAGGTACTTAATACATTTATGTTTCAAGTATAAGATACATTAATTATTCCAGTATTTATGAGTTAAATGAATGAAAACTCATCCGTTGTGGGACTACGTGTACACTGTATAAAAATGTAACACTGCGTCCAGACAGTGATTTAACATGTTATGGTAAACTCAATAAAAACATGCATATTTATATGTATTTATTTTTCTGTAGTTGCAGCACCTATTCAAGCGACATCATCGACGAAACTAAATGTATCTACAATTGATGACGTTAAACAATGGCTGATCTCAAATAAATTAGAAAAGTAGGTAATATTAAACAAAAGTCCTCTGATTGGTTAATGAAAACAATATTGCAGTACGTGTACCGATCTCTAACTAAGAATCGACGTTTTAAAGAATAAGTAAATGTAAAGTTAACTTGTATTTGAACTATAAGTCGGTGATAGGGACGATAGAATAACCAGTAAAACAAGATAAATAACATAACAGATGAAATTTTACTTGACTGTTCAAAACAAGGTCATTGTAAGTCGTGAACGATAAAAAAGGGTAAAACCAACAATAAAGTCAAGATAACCCTTGTGAAACATATATTAATGCTAAACGGAAGAATCAGCAAATGTGCTACAAATTATAATAATAATATAGACACTTTTTACAGCAAATTTTATTCATTGCCAAATCTTTCAAGTTTATGTTGATTTTATTGTTGAATTATAAGTAAAAACCGAATTGATTTAGTGCAAATATAGAACTTTAATGTTATATTTGATTTGATTTGAAAAAAATAGTCTATTTTGCATTTTCAACAAGCTCAGCAAAATAAAAAATGAAGGAACAGCCTAGCCTAAACAGATATTTTTCTCACAAAAACATAATAGTTTCAAACATCTGTTGGGTATTACTGAAGCCATAATTACATCTCATTGGTTGAACTTCAATTGCTTCTGGCGTCGTTTACCATTTACAACGTGTTTTGTGTACGCTTTTGACAATATTACCCAGACTGCATCAGATTCTAAAAAATACTTTGTCTAAAATTGTTCTTATTGTCCATAAATTTTTCATTAGTAGACAGACAAATTATATATTTGTACAACAATAAACGTTATTTTAGAAAATTGAATTCAACATTTTCATCCAAATGTGGTTTCGATTACAATAGACTTTTTTTAATCCAAATCATAAATAATTGAATTTCATTGGGGAAAACAAATGAATGTCATCACCAATTTAAACACTTTTTATAGATGCTGTCATCATTTTGAAGATGTTAATGGTGAAGGACTTTTACAACTAAAGTATATGCGACATGATGTGAGTATACATGTATATGAATATATGATTGATTGATTGTTGGTATTTTAACGCCACTTTTAAGCGCCACGTTCGGGCTATTTCGCGGCGGCCAGTTTTTATTAGTGGTGGAAGCCGGAGTGCCCTGAGAAAACCACCGACATTCGATAGGGAAACTGACAACCCTAGTCAATTAAGATTGGAGTCGAATGCATCCACACGAGCGGGGTTCGAACTCACAACCTCAGTGTTGACTGGCTAGTGATTACAGTAATAACTACTTAGACCACTCGGCCACCGAGGCCCCTATAAAAAAAAGGAAGATGTGGTATGATTGCCAATGAGACAACTCTCCACCAGATATCAAATAACATATAAATTTACAACTATAGATCACCGTAGGGCCTTCAACAATGAGATTAATTTATACCGCCTAGACAGCTATAAAAGGCCCGGAAATGACAAATATCAAACAATTCAATTGAGAAAACTAATGTACAAAACAATGAGCAAAAAACAATTATGATAAACAGCAACAAACAACCACTGAATTACTGGCTCTTGGCTTTGGACTGTTATTGTTTTTATTTATTGGTGTATTTATAATAATCATTATTTTATTTTTTTTCAAGTCAGTTACCGGCTCTTATGCATTTACCGTAACAGTGAATGTATGAAGTTTTATCTTAATCAGGAACGCTCAAACCAAAACATTTTGTAGATCTTTTGTCTGTGGGAGAAGGACATCTTAGGGTCTTAGTAATGTTTTAATTTACCAGTCGAACATTAAAAAATGTTAGAAATCATGATAATACAGAAGCCCTGACTACTGAGATGATCAAACACTTGGTGACTAACGGTCCATCCGAAGGGTATCGATAAAGTACACATAAATAAAAAAAAACACATTATAGATTGTGTTTGTCTGAGGCGCTTTTCTGGATTTACCGTCACTCACCAAGAACAACGTGATGGTTTTAAAAGTGAGTCAAAGAGTCAAAGGGACAGATTGACTCATAAGTCGAACACAAACTGATAACGCCATGGAAAAGAGGAAGTGACCAGAAGACAAACAGTAAACAATAATTCTTAAACTTTCGAATAATAAACTCAAAATGTCTCCGCAAAAATACACATTTATAAACTAATATTTTACAGGCACCAGAATGTTATTTTAAAATGCTGAGTAGAAAGTTAAAACTCAGCGTTGGTGAAACACTTAACTTTACTGCAGCTCTTGAAAAATTATGAAATTAGATGTCTGAAGTGCTCCAGAACCAACATGATAATTGTTTAGCAGCAATGTTCTACAAGACAGAGGTTTATTGTCAATCGTGTATTTCTAAACAAAACTATATCGCTCAATTTTTTTTAGTTAAAATTGTTCATAGTTTAACAGCCTCCCAAATTTCCAATTTGACCCTGTAATTGGTGCATGAATTATCCAACAGAGCTAGGTAATGTCTTTGTGCTGGGTTTAAGAGGATTGCTGATGTACCATCTGAGGATATTTAATGATACATCAAGTTATTCACCTTCTCCTCGCAATCATATAGGTCATATTTTAGCATAATGTTTAAGTTTTTGTTATTGAACACATACTTTCTCGTTCATAGTTTTGTAGAATATTGTAGGCTCATTTGTTCACATTTTAACAGCTAGACTAGATTGTGCTTCCCACATTTCCAATTTATCCATGTTGTTGGTACATGGGTAATCTGACAGAGCAAACATATGACTATGCACTGAATTATAGAGGACTGCTGTTTTACCATCTAAATTAACAAAGGAATATTTAGTGATCTCAGATTAGCTGAAGGAATACCCACTTTTTTCTCAAACGATTTAACCACGAATTTGCCCTTAACGCCAAATATCTTACCTCGAGCGGCAGTCAAATACTGAAAGAGTTTGCTCCCTTTATTTTAGACTTTGGTTTTAAAGATGTAAATATTTCTATTTATTTATAAACAAAAAGTCCAACTCAGCCTTTGCTTGTAAAAAAATACCATGATATTATGAATAACTTTCATGCTTTTAGTTCCACTTAAACATATATAAATATCATTGAAATTGAAACTCGTAATCAAAAGTTAATGCCGATACCAATTACTGTGCTATGATAAACCATACTGTGGGTATCTGCAAAGTTGCCCTTATCTGTCTCCCCCCGCGTTATATTTTATCAAGTACCAATAAAACATAAACTTATTATCAAAACTTAGGCAATAACAATAGGATATCTAGCTGTTACCTCATTTCATAGTTTCCTATTTTCTATGTAGGTCAACCAGAAAAAATATTTAAAATCTGCAATATATTCTTATCTATCTCTTGGTAGTTGAGTAGCATTTGTTCCGTTTCGAGCAAGGTGCACATAGTCGGTTAAATTACAAATCACCAGCTTTAGCAAATAATAAAAATATTCGATAGAAATTGCTTACAAAACAAATATAACACCATAGTAAAGATTGCATATATGTTGATTTAATTATCAAGACCCATATAATTTGTCTAGAATGTAGATATAAGAAGATGTGGTATGAGTGCCAATGAGACAACTCTCCATCCAAGTCAAAATTTATAAAAATAAAACCATTATAGGTCACAGTACGGTCTTCAACACGGAGCCTTGGCTCACACCGAACAGTAAGCTATAAAGGGCCCCAAAAAATTACTAGTGTAAAACCATTCAAACGGGAAAACTAACGGTCTAATCTATATAAAAAACGAGAAACGAGAAACACTTATGAACCACATCAACAAACGACAACTACTGAACATCAGATTCCTGACTTAGGACAGGTGCAAACAAATGCAGCGGGTTTAAACGTTTGAATGGTACCAAACCTTCACCCTTTTTCTGAAACAATAGTGTAACATCACAACATAGAAAGCCACACTATAAAATATCAACTGAAATAGCTTAACTCAATCAAAGGACATATTAACATCATTGCACATACACTGAACAAATAAATTTGACCTATGACACAATGTAAATACAAAATAAATAAACTAAGGGAAGAATAATAAAAGTAACATGTTATATCGGTAAGAAATGTTAAACAATTAAAGAAAAACAATATGCCCGAACAAAAATATCAGCCGTTTGCAATAACTTTAAACACAGTTAAATGAAAATTATTTTGTTGTTAGGTATACGTGTACAGTACCAATAGAGAAAGGAAATATTTTTACAAAATAAATAATTTTGATGTTCATAGTACGAAGTGAAACCAAACACGTATTAAAGCTGGTATATAGACCAGATATAACCCTGAATAACATTAAATAACAAAAAAGCAATACATTTAGTATCAACAGGTCAAATAAACAAGAAAGTACGATTTGAGAGTACTCGCAGTTACTGACAGCTAGTTAAAAGCCAAAACAATTAATAATAAAAAATCATGCATCAGAGACTAAAATCAACTAAAACACATCCCAGGGATTTAGTATTTTAACGTCATGGACAGTCAAAGAAGACATGACTAGTGCAATGTCAAAAATAAATGTATCAACAGACAGTAGGATAGTTCGGAGTTTAACCTCTTTATAGATCTAAACGAACGTGGGTGTGTCTTTATACATCCCGCTTGAAAAAAATACAAATTTAGTTATGTTTTAATTTGCTGATGACAAAATCGATATTAGTGCCAATGTAAACTATATTCAAAGATCTAAGTACAACATTGGTAAGATAACCTTTACTAATAAGTTTGTTTAAAGGTTCGATGAGTTTTCACGTGTACCTGTATACGTAGTAGCATTTGGTAAAGGTATGTGGATACAATTTTATTAGAAAGCGGATGATGAGAACAAATTGCAAAATAGTTCTATTTATATTGGCTACACATAAGACACAAGCCAAAGAAATATCCATGTTAGTTTTTCCGAGGTGATGTGTACTGATTGCCAATGAAAGAGACCACTACCCATTGGAGACCAAACAAAGTGAAAATAAGCAACAAGTTCTCTTTAATGGATGAAGGAAAATCTGCTGATTCTACGTTCTTTGCACGATCTTCATATAAATCAAAAACCTACATAGAAATAGACCAAATAAACCAAATTGATCTTTAAACTCATAGGTCAAAGACATACTGATAATGCCATGTCAACAGAAGAACATTGAAAACTAAAGACTGTGCAACACAAACCCCATCGAAAATCAGGAAGCGACGTTAAGTGCTCTGGATAAATAGCAAATTCTGAGCCACATGAAACACCCAATGTGTTGATAAAAGTATTATAAATTCGGTGATAAGTCTCATTCCGTGTTTTCACATTAGAGGAAAAGAGGATGGGATGGTGAACTGGAATATATCCGGTATTATATGTAAAACAGATGATTAACGTTCAATTAAGTCAAGATAGGGTCCGTAACATTTCGAAGGGATGATTTCAACGTTTACACTTGACACCCTTGTTTGAATAGCTTCCTTGAACATGTTGAAAGAAGCAACCCTCTATCAGATTGTTTCAGATTGCAATGCCAAAATATATTTATCATCATGTGCACCATTTTTATTGTAATGGCATGCATGCATTACATTTTTGTTGAAAGTGAAAGCTGTACGGTAACCTAACGTTGCTTACATCCACATTTTTTTATATGTGGTGGATAGCTGTCTCGTTTGCAATTGTACCACATTTTCTTACTTTTATATACAAACGTATCTCGTGAATTATGTCTTTGCACAAAACATATCTTTTCCTTCGCCTTTTCCAAATGACGTCAACTGAACCAACACTCAAAAACATTACATTGTTGAACAAGACCATAACTAAGTCATGACCTGCAACGCTGCACGCAAATATTGAGGTTACATGCATACTGGAGCATAACTTATCATTCCCTTTCATTGAAGCCAAGAACAATGTCCTTTTTCAATGAGTGTTGTGTGAAACTATCAGCAAAAAGGAAGTGGCTACACGTCAGATGTAAAAATTGCTTACTCGCTTTAACTCAACATTACTAAGGTGCAGACTGCATACTAAATAATTCTTTTTTCGCAGGAGCTACCATTATATTTAGAAAACTTTCCTTTTACAAAACGTATTTTAAATTTGAAAATATCGGCAAACAGGAAGTGACTTCAGATGCAAAAATTGCTTTCTCATTACAACTTAACATTATCAAGCTGCAGACCTAATATTAAATCATTCCCTTTACTTAGAGACGATACAACTTTGACATAAATTTTCCTTGAGCCTTGAGTGTTGTTAAATTTCAAACTATCGGCTAATAAGTACAGGATACAAGGCAAATGTCAAAATTACTTACTTGCTACAACTCAACATTTTATAGCTGCAGACCAAAACTTAAATCATTCCCTTTCATAGAAGCCAAGAAAAACTTTGATGAAAGTTTTCTTTCGGACGGACGGACGGACGGAGTCGAGCGGTTAATAGACCTGATTTTGCCTTCAATGACGCAGTTAAAACAAAGTGTCTTCAGCTTTTTTTATAAAACTATGAAAGGTGCATGTTCCTTCGTAACGGTTATTTGAAGCAAATCTTATAAGATACAAATATTTTCCAGGTTGTTTTGTTTTGTTGTTGGTATATATTTGTTGTTATATATTTGTCAACTCCACTAATTGCTTTTGTATATACTAGTAGATAAACTAGAAGTCTATTATATGGATCACATCTAATTTATCAGCAAAGACAAATCAACACTTTCCCCCACAATGAATTCTTTCATATTTCGATGTTGTACTAAATGGTCTTTTTAAAACAAATCCACAAAATTGTTGACTTCTTCTTCTTCTTCTTCAGTTATACAACAAAACTTCAGGATACTGAAGATTACTTGTTGTTGCGCATGCGTGTTAAGATTGAATTTTCTTGTAAATGCCAAAGAAGAAATATATACAAATTTGACAATTTGTGCATGTATATTACAAAAACTAGTGATTAAAATAAAAATTATATACAAAAATGTATTGTCTTGATTTAAATCAGTTAGCAGAGAACACCTTGTGTAAGGTGTGCTCTGAAACTGTCAACTGTGGTTGACTGTACTGTGGCTATAGGTAGCATGTTCCATTGTATGATGGTGTGTGGGAAAAATGACCACTTATATGTTTCCTTTGTGGTTCGTATATGTCTATAAGTATTTGGATGGTTTTGTCTTGTTCTACTGTCTGTTGGTATTAAAATTTCAGATGGTATGGCAATGAGACCGTGAATTACTTTGTAAAATATAATAAGACGTGTTTTAAGGCGGCGTTCAGCTAATGTCGGTAGTTTTAAATTATTCATCACATTTGTAACGCTACTGATGTTATGGTAGTTGTTACAAATGTACCTAGGTGCTCTTCTTTGAACCATTTCTATTTTTTGGGTAGCATCTTTTGTGTGAGGGTCCCATAAACTGCAGCTGTATTCTAATTTAGGTCTGACTATTGATTGATATGCTCTTGATTTAATGTCTGTGTTTGATATTTTTAAATTTCTTTTAAGGAATCCTAAAGATTTATTGCCGTTTGAGATAATGTTGTCATAATGTATAGGTTCCATTTAAGATTTGATTGTAGAGTAACGCCCAGATATTTAGCGGATATTTATATGTAACGGATTCAAGAATGTGACTATGGAGGATGTAATCATGTAAATATGGTTTCTTTTTATGTGAAATTGAAAGTTTAGTGCATTTATCAGGGTGGAAAGCCATAAGCCAATCTGCTTCCCACTTCGCTGCAGCGTTTAGATCTTCTTGTAATTTATCACAGTCTGATTGAGATTTGATTTCTCTATATATGATGCTATCATCAGCAAAGAGTCTTAATTTGCTATGTGTTAAATATTCAGAGAAGTCATTAATGTAAATGAGAAATAATATGGGGCCCAGTACAGTACCCTGTGGGACTCCAGATGTAACTGGCACTGATGTAGAAGAAATACCATTTATTACAACTGTTTGTGTTCTATCGGATAAAAAAGCTTGGATCCATTTAAGTGTATTTTTCCTTATACCATAGTATTGAAGTTTGTAAAGTAATCGTTGGTGAGGAACTTTATCAAACGCTTTAGCAAAGTCCATAATGATAAGGTCAATTTGAATGTTACTATTATTACTAGATGATAGTTCTTGAATGAAGTCAATTAATTGTGATTCACAAGATCGGTTTTTTCTGAAGCCATGTTGTAGATTATATAAAATGTTGTTTTGTTCTAAATGTGACATTATGTTACTTGTGATGATATGTTCCATGATCTTACAGCATGTACATGTTAATGATATGGGTCTGTAATTTACAGGTTTATATTTTTCCCCTTTTTTAAATGCTGGAGCAACGTTGGCATGCTTCCAATCTTTAGGTGTTTCCCCCGACTCTAAGACTTACTGAATATTAATGTAAGTATTGGTGACACTTGCTCTTTTAATTCTTTTAGTACTCTACCGTTTATATTGTCAGGTCCACATGCTTTGTGGGGGTTAAGATTTGATAGTAATTTTGTGACTCCTGTTTTGCTAATATATATTTGTGGCATTTCAAGATGTGGGCTAGTACCTTTGTCTGGGATATTTGTGTTAGATTCATTTGTGAAGACGGATTGAAATTGATGGTTTAAGATGTTTGCTTTTTCTTCTGTTTCAGTGATTAGTATACCGTCCTTTTTTAAAGGTGCAATACCCGTGCTATCTGTACTTGTGCTTTTAATATAGCTAAATATATTTTTGGGTTTTGCATCTGGTGTCATATGTTGGTCAGCATCATTTACAGGTAAGTCACAGATTATTTTTTCTATGTAGTTCCAGTAGCCTGTACGTAGTTCTTTCTGTACTTGCTTTTTAAGTTTTTTGAATTTTTCTGGATTTTTTTTTCTCTTGCTATATGCTTTCTTTTTGTTGTTAATAAGTTTTCGTAATTTGTTTGTCACCCAAGGTAGTCTATGTTTATATGTTAACATTTTATGAGGTACATTTTTTTCAATTGATGTTACAAGGTCCACTTTAAAGGTGTTCCATAATGTGTCGACATTACTTGTTTTATAGTCTTTAT